TGTCCGCAGTAGTAGATCTGGTGGTCATCTGATGTGAAGTGGCCCATTCCAGTCCATTTCAGTTCGCTGACTTGTAAATGCTAGTGGGGTTGGGGGAGGACTGACTTTTTAATTTGGGAGTTGTAGTTGCTGGGATTTATAGTTCACCTGTAATCAAAGAGCATTCTGAACTCCACCAGCGATGTATTTGAACCTAATTTGCCACACAGAACTGCCATGACCAACGGAAAACACTGGAAGGGTTTGGTGGGTATTGACCTTGAGTTTGGGAGTTGTAGTTCACCTATATCCAGAGAGCACTGTGGACTTAAACAATGATGGATCTGGACCAAACTTGGCACAAATACTCAAAATGCACAAATGTGTACACTGGTGGAGCCTGGGGAAAATAGACCTTGACTTTTGGGAGTTGTAGTTGCTGGGATTTATAGTTCATGACAATCAAAGAACATTCTGAACTCCACCAACGATAAAATTGGCTCAAACTTCCTATATGGAATCCCCATGACCATCAGAAAATACTGTGATTTCTGATGGTCTTTGGTGACCCCTCTGGCACCCCTTCGCGACCCACTCAGAGGTCCCGACCCCCAGGTTGAGAAACACTGCTCTAGAACTGCTTGGGAAGTCTGACTTGGCCACGGTGGTCCACGCTCTGGTTACATCCCATTTAGACTACTGCAACGCTCTCTACATGGGGTTGCCTCTGAAGACTGCCCGGAAGCTTCAATCAGTCCAACGTGCGGCAGCCAGACTGCTAACAGGAGCAGGGTACAGAGACCATGCGACTCCTCTGTTACACCAGCTCCACTGGCTGCCGATTAGCTTCCGTGCACAATTCAAAGTGCCCTAAACGACTCCAGCCCAGTTTACCTGTCCGAACGGATTCTCCCCTATGAACCATCAAGGCTATTAAGATCTTCCGGGGGGGGGGGGCTGCTCTCGGTCCCACCACCCTCGCAATCGCGGTTGGTGGGGACGAGGGACAGGGCCTTCTCGGTGGTGGCTCCCCAGCTTTGGAACTCCCTCCCACTAGAGATCAGATCTGCTCCCTCCCTCCTCACGTTCAGGAAATTACTAAAGACCTGGCTCTGGAATGTGGCATTTGAGGACTGAATCTATAACCTCCGTCCACAAGGAAGGAGGACGATGAACTGTGACTACGAGTATGACTATGGCCATGACTGGATTGACGATTTGGCTTAGGTAATTGTGATGATGATGTTCTATAGTACTGTATTGTACTATTTTAATCTGTAATAACTTTGCACTTTGTTGTTCTTATATATGATTGTATTTTTATATATGCTGTAAACCGACCTAAGTCCCTCGTTGAGGTGAGAAGGCCGGTATAGAAAACTTCTAAATAAATAAATAAACATGGCCCGAAAAAACCCACAAGAACCTACATATCTCTCTCTCTCCTCTCTACCTGCTTCCTGAATCCTGCTTCCTCTTCATCTTGGAAAGAAGTGACAAGTGGAGTGCCGCAGGGTTCCGTCCTGGGCCCGGTCCTGTTCAACATCTTTATTAATGACTTAGATGAAGGGTTTGAAGGCATGATCATCAAGTTTGCAGACGACACCAAATTGGGAGGGAGAGCCAAGACTCCAGAGGACAGGAGCAGGACTCAAAACGATCTTGACAGATTAGAGAGATGATGGGCCAAAACTAACAAAATGTAGTTCAACAGGGACAAATGCAAGATACTCCACTTTGGCAGAAAAAATGAAATGCAAAGATACAGAATGGGGGACAATGAGGCCTGGCTCGAGAGCAGTACGTGTGAAAAAGATCTTGGAGCCCTCGTGGACAACAAGTTAAACATGAGCCAGGAATGTGATGTGGCGGCAAAAAAAGCCAGTGGGATTCTGGCCTGCATCAAGAGGAGCATAGTGTCTAGATCCAGAGAAGTCATGCTACCCTTCTATTCCGTTTTGGTTAGACCACACCTGGAATATTGTGTCTGGGCGCCACAATTCAAGAGAGATGTCGAAAAACTGGAATGTGTCCAGAGGAGGGCGACTAAAACAATCAAGGGTCTGGAGAACAAGCCCTATAAGGAGCGGCTTAAACAGCTGGGCATGTTTAGCCGGAAGAAGAGAAGGCTGAGAGGAGATATGATGATAGCCATGTATAATAAATATGTGAGAGGAAGCCACAGGGAGGAGGAGGGAGCAAGCATCCTTTCTGCTTCCCTGGAGACAAGGATGCAATGGAGCCATGGCTTCAAACTACAACAGAGGAGATTCCATCTGAACACAAGGAAGAACTTCCTGACTGTGAGAGCCGTTCAGCAGTGGAACTCCCTGCCCCGGAGTGTGGTGGAGGCTCCTTCTTTGGAGGCGCTTAAACAGAGGCTGGATGGCCATCTGCCAGGGGTGCTTTG